ATATTCATGGAAAAGATATACAATTAATATTTTTAAGACTTAGAAAGTGCACATTGAATAGTAAGCTTAGAGAATTTCAATTTAAAATGCTTTATAATATTATATATACCAAATTACATTTATATAAATTTAAAATGGTTAATAGTAATTTATGTTCTTTTTGTGGTAAATATGAGGAAACTTACGAGCATTTATTTTGTCTTTGTGAGAAAGTAAAACCAATTTGGGAAGAGTGTGGGAATTCATTTAATTTAGTAGAAATTACAAATATAAATTGGAAAGGTATCCATGTAGGGATAGTTGAGTTTAACATAGGGAAGGAACAGTTATTAAATCATATCATAATTTTGATAAAATATATGATATTTATAGATAGTAAAAATAGACAAAAACCACCAACTTATTTGGAGATTAAGAAAAGATTATTAGAAAATAGAAAGGAGGAGAAGAAATTAGCTGGGGACCGAGGTACACTCACATATCATTTTAGAAAGTGGGACAATTTAGAATAGCTTCGTGCAGAATAAATAAAATAAGGAAGGCGAATAGAAGCAATGAAATGGACATGGCTGATATAATGGTCGAGATTCCCACTAAATGTAGGCATGTTTTAAGTGGGTTTTTGTGTGGGTGTCTGTGCACGTGTGTGTATGTGTGTATGTAAGTATTTTTTTTTTTTTTTTTTTTTTCTTCTTCTTTTTTTCTTCTCTTAAATGTCTTTTTATGTTCATGCCTTCTTCATGCATGCATGTTTCATGCTTTATTTGATGTAAATAGTAAAAAATTCATTGGTATTATTTAGATGTGAATGTAAAATCATATTCTATATAATAATATTAACATGCAGATTATTTTATGTATTGATTTTGTTATTGTTTGTGAAAAGCAATGGAGAAAATAAAATATCATTGAAAAAAAAAAAAAAATCACGAGTCTTCACAAGTCGTAAAAGTATAACCCCGAATCAGGCGGTCATAATCAGTAAATCATGTGTAAAAATATAGTAATAGTAATAATAATGACATAGATGTGAAATACTCGAGGACAAATTAACTAACTCTGTTCTGATTGAGTGCATGCCCCACCAGTGGAGCTTGGGCGGCACCCCTCCCCCCGAGTGTCTTAATGTTGATGTTTACCCCTAATTTTGGTGTGAAGCGTATCTACTGCTGGAAGCTAGCTCGGCCTCCACCCCCCCCCCCACCACCCCCCCCCCCCCCGCCCGTCGGCCTGGCCGCATTGCGTTTGCAAGGACAACTCAACTCACCGAACTGACCGAAGGCAGGGAAAAGAGAAATGGGATTGAGGGGGCAGTTTTGAACAGAAGCAATACAGTTGATCCGACTACTCAAACGTTGCATCCCTCGTCGATGTATTTTTTATAGACATGATTAGAGGGGGTTCTGAAATTGCTCGGATAAGGTTTCCTGTCCCACTAAGGGAGCCTAACGTAGCAACCCTCCGCCAAGTGTCTCACTAATTGCACTTTCACATATTTTGAAAAATCCATGGCTGGGTTCTAACCAGACTTTGTAGGAATCATCCTCAGATAGGGCGGATCTGATATTGCTCAGAGGCCTGGTGCAGCTATCACTCCAGCAGACTCGAGTCAGTAGGCCTCAAAATGCCCCGGTGGCAATAATGATACAAATTGTACTTTTTCATCAAAAATCTTTATTGGATGTAAACTTAATATTTGTCAATTAGGGGTAAAACGGTGAATTCATAATGAACAACGCCATCTAGCGACACCACTGTTTAATATATAGTTATGATAATGCATGCTTATAAAACACCCTAAATGAATGTAATTATAATCGTTCTCAATGTCTTTCGTAATTAATTGATATGTGCAAATGTAAGTTGATCTGTACGTATCCTTCTTTCTCATATTAGTTTCCCCTCTTTGTTGTCTACCATCACGTACTATCCCTCAAACACACACACTTACACGCGACCTCACATTGAAACAAACACACACTCTCTCTCTCTCTTTCTCTATTCCTCTTTCTTCTCATTATCATTTATTTCGTTCATGAGCTGCAGGAAGTGCTGGCAGTGATTTAAGGGGAGTAAAAGGTTGAGTAAATATGAAATCTTTTTGAATCTTTGGAGAACATTGAATAAAAAAAGGACGCTATTTCTTTGTCTTCGTTTTTTTGCCTTGTAATCGAATTCTATAGGGGAAAAAATGCTTGTCACGGGGATGTTTCACTTGTTCGCATTCAGAAGTCCCATTTTGGGGAAAAGCCCCCAAGGTTCTTCTTTCTCCCTCTCTCTCTCTCTTTTTTCTTCTTCTCTCTTTATATACATATAGGCCTATATCAATGCCTGTAAGTTTCTTCATCGCATATTCGTATTCTTTCATATCCTTTTATGCTTCGTCTTTATCTTATCATTTGATTGAACTCTGAAATATAACCAACCCCCTTTGTATTAATCATGAAGAATTTTGTTGCCTTTATTCTTAAAATCTTTGTACCCAGTTTTACCAATAACATGTAAATATCTTTACCTGATCAATTTGAATAAGCCAGTTCAGAAGTTTTCATCTGCAAATAGGTAGATAAAGGTCATTAAGGTTGTACATAACTGTATAAACAGATTTAGACAAATGCTGAATATGTATTCATGAAAGTTAATTTTTTATTATTCATTTACGCACCGACGGTACATGCTGTGATGCGCACGTGAACATATGTATTTAAAGTATTTAAAGAGGGCAATCAAAAGTATATTTAAAAGCATCTCCGTGACTTCTGCAAGCATGATTGTACAACGAGCAAAGACTTGTCCGTGTTAAAATATCAATATACGAATATTTGAGGTTGTTTCTATTATGTGCTACAAACAAGTAAAACATCCATAGGCTCTGCCCACACATACGGTAATTTAATAGGCAACATCTTAAAAAGTATTTAATTATTTTAAAATTGCGTTGCATAGGTAATATCGGTGATATTGAATTAATAAATGGTCAAATTTGTGTGAAATTTGTACAAATTTGGGATACAAATACAAATACTTGTAAGACGCAGCATTTTCCAAATGTTATAAATGAATAGGATCAGTGCACAAAACGTGTATACCTGTCTTCTGATTATTTGTTTGCAATATCTGCTATTGACTTTTCCAGCTACAAATCGTATTTCCAATGTCACTTTATTCCTACAAGGTGTTTGCTTGTGGTGGTACGTTAGCTTTATAGATAAGATATTAGTGAACTTAGATTGTTATAAAAATTGAAAAAATACATCATACGTAAATTAAACGTCAAAGTCATTACAATGTGTAAACAACAACTGTAAATGTCATGCAAACAACATACCTAGACGAAATATAAGTTCTACGAAAGTGATTTGCAACATAACATGGAAAAGCGATTATTTTTCTTCTTCCGAAACAAGTCATCGCAGTAAGTATATCCAGCGACATCTTCTCCTTTTTTAAATCGAAGTAAAAATGATATCTATGGAAAGCTTACGATAAATAATAATAAATAATAGCTTATAATAAAACATAAAATGCTCATTATCGCTCTTTATTAAAGGTAGTATGTCCCATTTGCAGGCCAAACAAAAGAAAATGTGTAATTCCAACGGCAATTGAAAGTAAATACCAATTTTGAACTTACCTAAAAAAAGGGGGCTTGGAAATTTCTTTAAGTGGGCAAATAACGACTATTAGTTGTCGAATCGACTGAAGAGCTATAGAGCCAGTAAGTAATAGTCTAATTTTCAGACCATTGTACCGAATGGTTGTACGTTTCATGCTGCGCAAAAATTTAATCAGTGTAATTTTGGCCATTGCAAGTGGGTTATTGATGTAGACAAATGCTCATGTACCCTAATTTACAACTCATTTTATGCATGTTATTACCAAAGAAGGAAAAAGGCCAATCAGTCACTAAATATTGTCTGACATTGAAGCCTAGCAAGTAAACGGGTTTCCTTGAATAATTTTAATATAAGGACACTGGTAACGTTTACATTTCACAGATAGGACATACATGACATATTCATAATTTATGCAAAATTCTGCAGAATTTGATGTTGGCTGCAAAAGGGTCATAGTATCTTTAAAAACGAATATTTACAGTGAGAAACAGTAAGTATTTGTGGCATCAAACTAATTTGTCATACAGAGAGTATTTCAAGTTCAATGTATTCAAACTTATTTTTTTCTATACAAAGGTGAGTTTACTACGTAATGTATTTTCACATTTATTTTGTTACGGCAATGACTTTATTTTATTTTACTGTGTGCTGAACGTGATATATTTGTAAGTATTCATTTCATAATCAAAATATAAAGTGGTACAAAAAAGATCATACTTATACAGAGATATATCACAGTTTATCATAATGGCCCAGGACAATAAATCTTCTAAAAAAGCAGAGTGTAACATTTAAACATAAATCGTGCATTTTCTACCTATACTACACATACTTAAATAATCTGCTATGCATGAGATAATTACAATTTCATAGTTGATAGTATATAGTAAAATCAATATTTATGTTTTCCTTAGGTTTCCCAAACCTTTATTATTCTTATGTCATGTGTACTGATAACATACACATAATATAATGCAACCTTTGCATTTGCACATGAAATATAGGCATTCACATTTAAAGGTATAATAATCACTCCAAATACTATTGGGGAGAACAAAATGATATCTTATTTGTTTGTGATTTAAAGTAAAGTCTTAATAAGAGAATTATGTTTTTGTTACTTTGATTAAGTCACTTACAGTTTTTTACATTATATTTTTAAGCCCTCATTACTGTGAGGACGCAGGCGTACGAGCGTGAACATCACATAGACTTTATGTATTTGACTATCCGTATGTCAAAATATTGTTATGTTATACCTTACTATTGCATAGGAATAGAATTTGTTTTTAAGGGCACCTCAGTATTAATACTTTAAAAGAATCGTATTAATCTGTTAGACTATCCAACATTTGTATTTAGGAACCATAATGGTAACATAAACATGAGTATACAAGATCCAGGAGAATCATATCTCGGTATAGTCATAGTTGTTCACCTGCCAATGTAAAGTTTTGTAATTGTCACTATGGTTAATCTTTAAGCAAGTTAAATTCACATATAAATGTGTAGAAAATATATATACAGTCACAATAAAGGTTGTCCGAAAGGGTTTATCCACCAAAGGCTTTTTGACGAACATCAATGATTACTTTTATGAATAAAAGCATCACTAGATTCTCCGAAGATGTCTCGGTCAAGGCGATGTTAGAGAGCCAGTCGCTATAGTTGATGCCGTTATCTTCTACACCCTCTTCATCAGATGTGTTAGTTCCCTCTTCAAACGGCTCGTTAGAAGACACGTTGGTTTGTCCTCCTGAGGAACATTGAGCTGCAGATGTGCTATCTATCCTGGATAGCTGGTGAGAATCTTCCATTTTCTGAGAGTGTCCTGGTCCTGGTCCTGGTCCTGATCCTGTTCCTGTTCCTGTTTCGGGAGATGGTATTTATCAAGACTAGCATCAATGCTCTTCAACATGAGCTGGTCCAGAATAAATAATGAATATTGTACTCTCAGCAACACCCCAACCCCCCCCCCCCAAAAAAAAAAAAAAATAATAATAATAAAAAAAAAAAAAAATAAATAAATAAAAAATTAAAATAAATAAATAAATAAATAAAATAATAAATAAATAAATTAATTAATTATTTTTTAAAAATAGACAAAATCTGACAAACGACATATAGACAAATAACAACCACGAAACCGGCAACCCTTATTCATGTTACATATTTATTTGTAAAGTGACATTATCAGGCGGATGAAAACAGAGAGTATTCATGATTAAGGCGGCTTAACGATATGTTCTCCTTAGTTCTGGTTACGTGGAAAAGCAGGCAGACAGTAGACATTAATTTTCTCTTTATATTGATTATATCACGAACCAAATCAAATTATTAAACCAATTTTATGATAACCTTACCTTGTGGAATATAACGGTCAGCAAGGTCTAGCAATTTGGCAGCCACAAGCGCCCTCCTCAGTTCCATCCGTTCATCTTCCCTGGACACACCTCTTCTCCATTGTTTCAGCATGAGATGGGTTCCTCTACTAGTGACCTGTTCGTATCTCATGTTGGTTTTGAGAGCTCTTGCTATATCACCCTGTAGGATTCCAAGCTGACTACCCAAGCTATCGATTTTGGCCTCATCGGAAAGATCGTCAGCTATCTGCTTCAAGATGTCTGCAAACTCATCATTGGGTAGTTTCACGTTGGAATATACTTTAGAAATCAGCATAGTTAGAGAAAATAGAAGACATGCATTTTGTTGTCGCTTTAACAAAAAAGGTAAGCGGATACAAGTTAAAATCTGCCATGATGGAAATAATCATAACAATTAAACGAAGTTCTCTATCGGGTTTCGTTTAGCAGAATTATGTACCACAAATTGATACATAATAAGGAATTTAAAGGTTATAAGCGTTTGCCTTTTAAGGAAATAATACTATTATTCCCACACGGAAATAATGATAACAAGAAAAAGAACATGACGAACAGAAAGAAGGACAGGAAGAAAGAAGAAAAAGAAAAATTAGATGGAAGATGAGGAGAATGAGAAAGAAGAAGAATAAAGGGAAAAAGAAGATGTTCAATATGATTTACATTTTGTAATGGAAATGGGCCCTCAAGCTAGAATACCCAATACCTGGAACATGAGGTGTAGTAAACCGACATGCAAAATCTGTTTCAATCTACTCTGCTTCTGATGTAGTACTCCTTTTCGATGGATAGCATTGTCCAATTGAATTATCTTCAGAAGAACTTAACTCTGCCATGAACGTAGAATATTTGGATGTGATTGAAATAAAACGGTTAATAATTAAGGACAGTTTGATATGATCAGATCGTTAATGTCAGTATCTATTTATTTGCACAACATAAACTAACGAAATTAATAAAATCGTATCATCACAAAATAATGTACTACCCAGTGGCGTACATAGGTTTTTTTCAAGGGGGGGGGGGGGGGGGTTAACATTTTGAAATCGGGCCAAACATTTCGCAACGACTCAGCCAGCCGCTGAATAAGCGGGCGGGGGGGGGGGGGGGTAAGAGGTCATTTTGTATTATTATTATCATTATTATTATTATTATTATTATTATTATAATAATAATTATTATTATTATTATTATTTAATTCATTTATTTATTTATTTATTTATTTATTTTGTTTTATTTTTTAATTTTAATTTTTTAATTTTTTTTTTTTTTTTTTTTTGGGGGGGGGGGGGGGTCCCGAAATTTCAACATTTGACCGATCGACATTCCGTTTCGTTGGGGGGGGGGGGTAAGATCATTTTTTTTTATGTCATCCATTAGGATTTTTATAAAAAATTTTTTTTAATTAACCCCCCCCCCCCCCCCCCCCCCCCCCCCCCCCCCCCCCCCCCCCCATTGCGAATGCGCCTGGTACTACCCATAATTATTGTATTACCCTAGTTAGGTCTGCAGACTAATTCCAGATTAATTGGTATACAATGTCGACAATTGAAAATTAAATTCACTTTGTAACGTAACCAAAGGCTGAAGATGAAACAGTAATACTATAAACATATTAAGATGGTAGTATATACAGACGTGCATAATAATATCGGAAAATAGTCTTACCACTCTGTTCAAGCTTTCCAGAATTCGTCCAGGTAATCAAACTTTGCATCCATCGAGGTGTTTCTGCTTTCCTCTTCTGCTCTGCTGATCGTATCTCACTTTCTAGTTGAATTGTGGTTCTCAGTTTCCCGTTCTCACGCTCAAGTTGCTCCATACGATGCTCATTAGAAGCAGACTCGAGTTTCCATTTCAGCTCCTGAATTTCGTGTCTGCGTTCTTCGACCTCTTTGACCATCTTCTGATTGGCTTCTTTCATCTCTTTCTTGGTTTTCTCATAGAGCAACCTACATCTTGGATTCGTGCATATTTTTGTCAGTTCATTAATTGCTAACACTCTGTCACCTTCTTGGAGGCATCCATGTAGAAGTATTAGCAATTTCAACTGTTCCTCATCTGAAGAAACGTGATCAGAACATGGAACTTCATAGATGTGAATGACCCCGAGCTCCTTTAGTTTATTTATTGCCTCATTGGTGTCTTCACTTCCGCCGAAAGTAAGCATGGCACATGAAGGGATGCGATCTATCCAATCCAAACATATTTAGTTTGATTAAAACAAGTCGTTTAATCGTTTCATGACCTCTATATGCTACACATTTGTCACCTAATCCCTTTTTTCTGGGGGTGTATTTTGACACCAGAGTATGGATCGATTCGTAATATTTCATTCATCTCTGTGCCTTCTTGTATTGTCACTAAACATGTTGTATGCGCGCATAATATACCACCATTTGTTAAGGGTTGTAACAAGTAGAACTGGTAAATGAGAGAAGGATTGAGGAAGCGAGAGATAGAGAGAGAGGGGAGGGGTGATAAAGGAAGGAGACTGCAGAAGAGGTGGAATAGGGAGTTAACATGGAGAGTCAGGAGATACTCATACATTTACAACTATGACAATACACATGGATTATGAGAAGATGAAATAGCAGGATGACATTGTTTATGAAATTTAGCTACAACAATTGCAATCCATGAACATGGTTCTGACGAACTATCGTCAATGTAAAGACTAGTGAAATGATGTATACAACATTATTTTTTAAAGAAAAGAATGAAATAAAGAGAATCCCATAGGCATATTGCATTATACATGCCTAAGTATTAGCGTGTGTTTCACGAAGGAAAAAAAGGGAATTCGATATACAAAATGAACGGACAAAGGGCATGTTAGATTCGACGAACAGGATTACAGATGTGTAATATAGTACTTGATAATATGACATAATGGATAATATAGATATCTACTTGAATTCAATGTAAATTTTCTTCTAGAAATGAGCATGTAATATGCAATTAATAATGGTTGTTCCTCGTATGTCTCATGTCCTAGCCAAAATTGTTTCTGTATCAGGTGTCATTGTTGTTTGATGTTTATTCATTTGATAGCAGTTCAAATAACACAAATCGTCACCTATGTAAACACAATTTACCAACCTGTATAAAACAAACTTTCATGCGTGGAAGTAACCTAGCTCAGAACTTTATTGATTCATTCATCTCTTTAATTATATTCATTCTTTTAATCAATGCGGTGGTGTATATCACTCCATTGTGGTGTTTATGGTGTGTATAAATTAAATAATCGCTCCATATGCCCTTAGTTTATTTTCCTACCTACCTTTAAGGAATATGATTAGGAGCAAACTTACCTGTAATCGTCTTCACCAAACTGATCCATTGTTGGTAAAATAAACTATGAGTCCGGCTGAAGCTAAATAAAATTGAAAATGCAACGACAGAATCATTATTATTCACGTGGTGATGATTAAAGGGTTTATGATAACAAAATGCAAATAATTTTATTCTGCAACCCACCCACCCCCAACTGAAGGCCACCCTCACAATAAAAAAAATTGTATGTAGTTATTATACACTAGAACGAAGTATTCTTTGTGCTTTATGCCTCAGTCACACCATTGCGTATTTGTTTCGAATTTATCTCTCTCTCATCTCTCTCTCTCTTTCTCTCTCTTACTCTATTTCCTTCACGTGCAAGGCCCGATGTACCTAACTGGTAGAGATAACTACCAATAAACCGTAATTAGCAGTTATTGGTTGAGCGAAATGATTGTAAAGGAAAGGTAACTCTTCTGTTATATATTATAACACATTCCGCTTTTCAGTCGTAAATAATTGATTAATAAATAATAACATTTTTTGTATTGAGAGCGTTTACAGAATTATGGCTAAGCACAGACCTATTTTCCTTTTTTGTGCGAGTTACTTTTTTTAATTTGATATTAAAATATATATATAGTATTTAATTTTAGTCAATATATGTATGGCCTATGTGAATATAACAACGACAAAGATTATACTCACTCAACTAACATCACCACACATCCGACCTTCCCAGTAAGGTATTGTATATAATCTCTCAATTCCGAAAATGTGACTGTAACAGAGAACATATGTTATACATTGTTCATGATGCGATGGATTATTATGAACATGAAATTCAGTATTCATAAACAACGAAATAGACAAGTTTATGCAATTCTTTAAATTGCATTCAATATTCCAAAATAACAGAAATATATTTTGTGATAACCAAAACAGTGAACATATCATAAATTATTGAGAGGTAAGTAGCCAAAATATGATAATTATTTGCAGTTCTACAATTATACCCGGCACAAAATGAATTATGAATGATTGTAAAGTAGCAATGTAAGTACAATGTCGTTTGAAAATATATTAAGAATTGGAGTGGGTTGTCATGGAACAATACCAAATTCAGAAACAAGAAACAGCAAGAACAAAACAAAAACAAGAATAAAGAAACACCGAACCTAGTAATGTACAAAAATGAGGATGTTTGAAAATCCCAATAAACCCCTCCCTTCAATGAAAGGGTGCATCTATATATGAACACTATTTGAGCTTCATTTTACTGAAAATGTCTTTGGGAAATGCATGTTAGGGCCCTTATGTTTATTCACATATGATTTTGAGAGAGAAAACCAAAATTAATTCTACAATTGTTCCCAGCTCCCTTTTAATTAATCCCAATGTGGTGATCTGACGATTGACTTTGTCCGAAAACCTGTTTTTGCAACGTCCAAAAATACTTGTATGCTTACGCATAATACCCTGCTGGTAGACTTTAAACTAATAGCATCAGGCAGGGCAGGTACATGGTCACAAAGAAACATTCACATCATCTGAACAATATTTCTTTTAGTACAGGTAAAATGTAAAAATGAATCAATGTCCCACAAACATTAGTTTTTTTCTTATCCATGATAACTATATATACATATATTGCGCTTCATGAATCGGATGTGTGCTATGTTATGCGAAATATAAGAGTTTTATGTATTACTGATAAACCAATGACTTTATAAGAAAACGCAAGTGTTCACATAATTTCCCTCTGAGTCGATAGTGGGTTTGAGATGTCAATAGTCATTAGGTTACTTATGTCATGATTCATACCCGCGACAAAAAAACAATTACAGGTTAAAGACAACTGATATTTAGGATATATGATTATACAATTCAAGCGACTGAGTAAAGCCATGACAGTGTTGAATAACGTTTGATTGTTATGTAGTGTAGTATCCCATCAACGTAAAGGTAAAGTAAGCCCACTTGTAAGGATCAAGATATAAGAAGCCAAATTTAGTTTTTGTTTTGAGGATACCGTAGATTGACTGGAATTGTTGTACAAACGTAGCTAGGCTTGTCACATGGAAACTACAGATATGATATGATGTGGGCACGGATTCAAGGAAGGAAAACTTTGTTTTACCTACTAAACTACTACTATTATTGCTACTTTGTACATTCCGATGTATGGAAATGATTGGAGTTCAGTTGAGTGTTAATAAACAAAGAACCATGAAATTACCACATTGTCTCAAGGATCATATGTAGATATATCTACATTAGTAAAACAAAGTCGATTCTTCAACGGATACTGCATGGATGAAGGAATTCGACACGGCAAAGCCCCCGGGCGTGATACTTGCGAACACCGCACAAGTACTAAAGTCTGACGTGACGTGACACAGTGAGTAATTCAATGAAATGAAACTCAGAAGTGAAATCGGCTGAATGAAATGAAACTTTGAAGTGAAATCGGCTAGACTCTATAGCTCTACACGTTACTGCTGATTTGAAAGGAATGTTTATCAAGTAAATTGCAATTATGGATGAGAATACTACTCCCAAATCCCCAGGTGGGAAAGATAAGGAACTGAGCAATGCCAATGGCAATGATATTGATCATGTCGTGAAAGATAAGGAACTGAGCAATGCCAGTGGCAATGATATTGATCATGTTGATGATAAGGAGAGTAGTGCAACAAGGAGCTTTACTAGAGAAAGAGATCTAGAGAATGGGAAAGAAGATCAAGATGACTCAGAATCCACATTGTCATTATGTGGATCATCGGCCTCTTCTGCCAGTACTGCAAAGAGGAGAGAAAGAGAGAGAAAGAAGGAAAGACAACTTAAAGCAAAGTTGATAGCCTTACATCAAACGAGTGAACTTGAGAAGAAACTGAGAACACTTCAAAAACAACATGAAATGGAACAAGCCGAACAAGAAATACGAATTGCAAAAGAAAAGGCTGAGAATTTGAGAAAGAGTCAGCTTTTGAAGGATGAAGAAGCGGAGATTGAAAGACAAAAGACTGCTATTCTCTTGCAAGCAGAATTGAAGCTTCTACAACAAGACTCAGAGGAAGAGCTACAGAAATGGAAAGTGGAAGGTGATTCTTTCCGTGATCGTGGACAAGAACGAGAACGAGTTAGAGGTGATTTTGTCGGTGATCATGGACGAGATCAAGTTAGAGGTGATTTTGTCGGTGAACGTGGACAAGAACGAGATCAAGTTAGAGGTGACCCTTTCCGTGATCGTGGACAAGAACGAGAACAAGTAATAGGTGATTCTTTCCGTGATCGTGGACAAGAACAAGAACAAGCCTTTCGTAAGGAATCTGTGAGCAATGAAGAAGGAGCCACCAAACAGATGCTTAGGGAGATGATTAGATTCACTGCAGAAAACAGTCTACCATCGCCAGATCTCGAGCCGTTCAATGGGGATCCACTTGATTACCTTACCCTTATAAGGAATTTTGAATATGTGGTTGAAAAGAGAACTGATGAACCTTTCAGAAGACTAGAGCTTCTACTAAAATACACACGAGGAGAAGCGCATGAGCTTATTCGAGAATGCCCCCCACATACAACCAAGTAAGAGGGCATATGAGACAGCCAAGTCCATGCTACACAGAGACTATGGAAAGCAGAGTAACATAATAAATGCATACAAGGAAAGGGCAATTGCCTGGGAGCAGATACGATCAGGAGATAGGCAAGGATTGCGAAAATTCGCAATATACCTCAATAATTGCTCGCATGTTAGAGCAGCAGGGGACTTAGGAGGCATGGATAGTGCAAGTTTTCTGAGAGTTCTGGCAAGCAAGCTACCCTTGTATCTCCAGCAGAAATGGATATCACGAGTAGGCCTGACTCGTGATATTGCTAATAGGAATCCCACCCTGGAAGACCTGGCACAGTTCGTCATACAGACTGAAAGAAACATTAACGATCCCATGGTACAGGGATTGGGATATCAGAGGACAGAGAAAAATGCTTCCTACAATAAAGATGAGAAAGAAAAACTACAAAAATCAAGAAGCACAAAGGCATTTGGTACAGCTACACAACAGGATAGGGAGCAGAAGGACAAGAGGGAACCAAGTTGTACTTTCTGTGGCACCAACTCAAGGCATGTTATTGACGAGTGCCGAAAATTTGAAGCCTTGACAGTTGAAGAAAGATCAGAGCAATGTAAAAGGAAAGGCCTCTGCTTCCGATGCCTGAAACCAAAACATCTGAAAAAGGAATGCAAGAGTAAGATCAAGTGTGATGTCTGCGACAGGATGCACAACACTTTAATGCATGATCCCAGGTGGATGAAAGACGGAGAAGGAAATACAAGGAAAACCACCAATGATGCTTCAACATCTACCGATGTGCAAAGTGAAGCTGGAAGGATCTCTTCAGGGTCTACCAATGTGAAGAAAAGTGTTGGAGGAAAACCCCAGACATCGACGTGCATGACGATAGTTCCAGTCATCGTGAAGCACAAAGGAAATGACAGATGCATATCAACTTATGCATTCATAGATAATGGATGTGGAACAGTCTTCTGTGACACAGAACTTACCCAAAGGCTGCATGCAAGAACCAGGAAAACCAAGCTAATAGTCAAGACATTGAATCTTGAAGAAGTGATAGATACAGAAGTCACTGTAGATGAGCTGCAGATCGCAGGAGTAAAGGAGAAGGAATTCATCAATCTTCCGCCCATCTATGTCAAAGATGGTATACCAGTGACAGTTTCAGATGCTCCAACTCAAAAGGATCTGAAACGATGGAAACATCTGAAGGACATAGAATTGCCCGAAATAAGTAACCGCAACTCTATTTCAAGGGTAACTCTCATGATTGGAGCCAACGTTCCGTCAGCATCGATGCCTCTAGAAATTAAAGCTGGTGACATCGAAGAACCATATGCTATCCGCTCAAGGCTAGGTTGGCTCGTGTATGGTATACAAGCTCAAGAGCAAGCAGATATTCACAAAGTCTGTTTTTGTAAACAGGAGGAAGTTTCCATCATTCCTAGACAAGAGGAATTAGAACGGAAATTCAAAGACTTCTGCAATATGGAATTTACAGAGAGACTAAGTGATCACAGAGAGGGCCTGTCAGTTGACGACAAGAATTTCTTGGACATAATGGAGAAATCTATCACTAAGAAAGACAATCATTATCAGATAGATCTGCCCTTAAAGCAGAGAGATGTGGCTATGCCTAACAACAAGGACCAAGCTGAAAGATTTCTGGAAAGACAAGGACAGAAGTTATCAAAGAACAAGGAAATCCATGAACAGTACACCACATTCATGAATGATCTGGAAAAGCAAGGCTATGCAGAGAAGGTTCCAGAAGCAGACTTGGACAGACATGATGGGAAGGTATGGTATATCCCTCACCATGGGGTGTATCATCCCCAAAAGCCAGGAAAGATTAGAGTAGTCTTCAATTGTCCTATCAGCTACAAAGGAAAGTCTCTTAATCAGGAACTCCTACAAGGACCAGATCTAACCAACAGATTGCTTGGTGTTCTCCTCAGATGGAGGAAAGAGAAAGTGGCTATAATGGCAGATATACAGTCTATGTTCTATCAGGTGAAAGTTACACCAGACCAATGCGACATGCTGCGTTACTTGTGGTGGCCTGAGGGGAATATCACCAAAGAGCCAGTAGCCTACAGAATGCTAGTCCATCTTTTTGGGGCTACATCTTCTCCCAGTTGTTCGAATTATGCCCTGAAAAGAACAGCAAAGGACAATGAAGGTTGTGCAAAGGAAGAAGTCCTAGATGCCATACAGAAAGAATTTTACGTTGATGATTTTCTGAAGTCAGTATCAACACCCCAAGAAGGCATTGATCTAGCTGAATCATTAAGACAAGTGTTGTCCAAGGGAGGCTTCAAGTTAACCAAATGGTCAAGCAACAGACGAGAGGTCTTGGATTCCATTCCAAAGGAGGAACATGCTGTTGAATTGAAGGATTTGGACTTACAAAGGGAAGTACTTCCAACGGAACGAGCTCTTGGTGTGAGATGGGATCCAGAAAATGACCAGTTAGGCTTCAAACTGAAAGAAATGTCAAGAAAGGCTACTCGCCGAAACATCCTATCAGTAATGAGCTCAGTCTATGATCCCTTCGGGCTAGCAGCATCATTCGTTCTGAAGGCTAAGATAATTCTGCAAGAACTGTGCCAAGCTAAATTGGACTGGGACCAGTCAATCCCTGAAAAGCAGAAAATGGAATGGGAACATTGGATGAATGAGCTACAAAATCTTGACCAGGTGAAGACTGAAAGATGTCTAAAACCAAAGAACTTTGGTATAGTAACAAACAGACAGCTGCACCACTTTGCCGATGCTAGCATGGATGGCTATGGTGTTGTGACCTACTTGAGACAGACAGATGAGAATGAAGAGGTTCATGTGGCATTTTTGACAGCTAAAGCCAGGGTTGCCCCACTGAAGCCCCACACTATTGTTAAGATGGAGTTAACTGCTGCAACACTCGCAGTAAAGCAAGACAGTATGATCAAGAGTGAAATGAATATGGAGTTGGATGAGACAGTATTTTGGACGGACAGTCAAACAGTTCTGAAATACATTGCCAACGAAACTGCCAGATATCCAGTATTTGTGACAAACAGACTGAGTATCATCCGAGATGGATCAGAGACAAATCAGTGGAAGTACATTCCTACCAAGTTAAACCCGGCAGATCATGCATCCAGGGGATTGGATGCCAGTGAACTAACCAAGAAGAAGGAATGGTTTGAAGGCCCAGAATTCCTAAAGCGGTCTGAAGAAATATGGCCATCTGAGGGTGTGAAAGCTCAAGCAAGAATGGAGAAAGCTGATGATACTATGTCAGGAGATTTGGATGAGACTCACATTCATGCCACAATGATAAACAAAGAGGATCCAATAAGTGCACTCCTGTCGCACTATTCTGATTGGGATAAGCTGAAACGAGGAGTTGCCTGGATATTGAAGTTCAAGAAAATGCTACAAGGAAAGGGGAAAGGAATAGATGGCAATTCTAGTGAAATGTTCAGCCTGACAAATAAGGACATTGAAGATGCCGAAGTCGCAATTGTTAAACAATTGCAACTTGAATCATTCCCAGAGGAAATGAAACGACTGGCTGGTCACGGAGAAGAGAAAGGAGTACCAAAACGCTCTACCCTTAGTAACCTTGATCCAGAATTGAGCAATGGGTTACTTCAAGTAGGTGGAAGGTTGCAGAATGCCCAGATTCCAAGCAGTGCTAAACATCAATACATCCTACCAAAGAAGCATCATGTAACCACTCTTTTAATGCAATACATCCATAGGAGAGTTGGTCATCAGGGACAAAATCACATGGTAGCTGAATTACGACAGAAATTCTGGGTGGTAGCAGCTGGAGTTTTAGCACGAAACATAGCAAGGAAATGCATCATTTGTAGAAAGAACCAAGGAAAGGCTGGTCATCAGAAAATGGCAGAACTTCCAAGAAGTCGAGTTCAGAGTGACGAGCCGGCGTTCACCAGAGTTGGCATGGACTATTTTGGTCCTTTTGAAATAAAGTGTGGAAGAAGCATAAGGAAAAGATATGGCGTAATCTTCACATGCCTGTCCTGCAGAGGGGTGCACATTGAAGTTGCATCGAGTCTAGACACAAGCTCCTGTATTGAGGCTATTCGTCGCTTCATCAGCCGCCGAGGACCTATGAAAGAGATGTTCTCGGATAATGGTACAAATTTAGTAGGAGCTGAAAAGGAACTGAAGCAGGCATTAAAGGAGCTGAATCAAGACCAGCTGATCAACTTTCATGCAAACCATGGCATGAAATGGCATTTCAATCCTCCTGCTGCTTCCCATCAGGGGGGAGTATGGGAACGTCAAATTAGAACAGTCAGAAAGATACTGTGTGCAGTCATGAGAGAGCAGTATCTAAAGTCCTACCAGAATGAGGAGCAGCTCCATACATTCATGTGTGAAGTGGAGGCCGTCATAAATAGTAGGCCTCTTACCCGATGTTCAGACAACCCAAATGATCTGGATGTAATCTCACCAAACAGCTTGCTGACTATGAAGGGTTCAACGACGCTACCTCCAGGGATCTTCGACGACAAGGACATCTACGCAAAGAAGCGGTGGAAACAGATGCAGTACTTGGCAGACTTATTCTGGAAGAGGTGGGTGCGAGAATACCTGCCTTCCCTACAACGCCGACAAAAGTGGCTGCAGCCAAGTCGTAACCTTCAGGTGGGGGACATTGTACTCGTCATAGACGAAACAGCGCACAGATGTTCCTGGTCCATGGCCCGAGTGCAAGAGGTTATGCCAGACAACAAGGGGTTCGTCCGCAGAGCGAAAGTGAAAACTGCAACAACATCGCTAGTAAGACCAGTAACCAAGTTGTGTATTCTACTGGAGCAGGAAATTTGAATGGAGTTTGTCTCAAATTTATGAAAGGATCTATATGTATAATATGTGAAAGTGCCTTTAAGTGGATTGCTTTGAATCATTATTGGAGGAGGATATCAAGAAAATGAAGCAATTTGTGTTTGGATCAAGCGAACAAGTGGAATTCAGAGCGCCAGTGAAATTTTGTGTTTGTGTTAAAGTGAGAAGTAAAATATTAATAGCCCTTTGGCTAGTAATTGGTAATCATTTGTGATAATGAGCCAATACAGGATCAAATCATGTTTAATAGCGAATTTGGATCTGATCAACACATCTTTAATCGCGAATTTGCATTGGATCAACACATGTTTAATCGCGAATTTGCATTGGATCAACACATGTTTAATCGCGAATTAATTGGATCAACACATGTTTAATTGCGAATTTGCATTGGATCAACACATGTTTAATCGCGAATTTGCATTGGATCAACATTTCAAGTCGCGAATTTACACAGGATGATTTTGTCAACACGCGAATTGCAAGAGAGCAAAGTTTTACGCGATTTTAAGAGAGGACACTTCCATGAAAGGATGTCAATTTAAGACATTGAATTATGATAAGTCAGCACCGAACATTGTTTATGCTTTGCAAGAACGATAAAGGATATGAACATGAACTGGAACGAACTATTGAACTTTCAAACTGTTTAAGTTGAACTCTGTGAAATGCTATTCATGACTGAAATGTTCGTTTTGAAATTTGATGTTTTATACTCATACATGTACATGTATATATGTAAGTTTGTTGAGTTTCAATATTTCTTTGTGCTATCACAATTGGGATGTTTAAATTGAGGATGATGGAACATACATGTACACAAATAATTAAAAGAGAATATTTTGTTAAAAATTTGTTCAAGGTAATGATTGAATTAGCCTCAGAGTTAAAATCAGATATATTTTGTTAATATAAAACATACCAGAAAGAGAGAACTCAAATAGGGTTAAAGGGAGAAAGTGTTTTGAAAACAGTGTATTTGTTGACATAGAAAGTTAGAAATTTCATTTCATTAGATGTTCAGAACAATAACATGAATGAAAAGATTTAAATATATGTGTCTGCACTCTGCAGTGTAGAGCATTATAAGGAAGTTCAGATTGTGTTATATTTAAATTGAGGATTAACATGTTTAAGTGAAGTAAGGAATGTTATTTAGTTTTATGTGCAAATGGCAAGGATATTTGCATGTGCTTAGTAGTCAATCCACAATGTGACTTCAGTCATGCAGGTAAACTTCGGACAGATTGATATATGCAAATAGAAAGAACAAGGTTAATGTTCAAGCAGAAGTATAAGTATTACATGTATGAAGATGGTATTATGCACAATGCTAAATATTTCCTTTTCTCTATTGTTTGAAAGTACATGTGCATCTACGTTATTTCGATGTTCCTTTTATGTTGATGTACATGTACATCAGTTCAGTTCAATTGAAGGTGTTTAGAAATTGTTTTATGTTTAAAGTAAAAACAAAAGGAAAAATGTTAAGGTAGTAAATACAGCCACTAATTATTCTTGTTTTGGAAGAACAATTCTTGTGTTTGGATTTCATATTACTGGTTTATTTCCAGAGTTATTTTTTGAAAGGCAATTATAACGAAAATGATGTTTTTGATAATTTAATTACCATAGGTATTACATTTTGACAAAAGTTTGACAAAAGTTTGACAGCTATGAGTAAACATTGAAAATATTTTGATTTAAAGTTATCATTGATTCATGATTATTTTGTATTGGATGCTTTTGTTGAGTTGATACAGTAATGTTTATAGTAATCCAGGGATAAAGCTTGATTTTGCAGAATTTAGTGTATTCTGTGCATTTAGATAGTAGAAATTGGCAGAGTATAGAGATATAAGTGTTACATCTCATTGTGATTATGATTTGTTTTGGAAACAGTTAGGTATTATATAAATAGAAAGTGTTTGAATTTAATTTTACCTAGGTTATGAGACAATATGTAGAAAATGGTTGTAAACATTTGATAATACATGTAGATAACAGTTGGTATTTTGTTAATTTACATCAGTGATGGACAATTAAGTTTTGGTTAAATAGATGTTAATCGTTGCATCCTCTAGCTGCAACTGGGGGGAGGAATGTAAGGATCAAGATATAAGAAGCCAAATTTAGTTTTTGTTTTGAGGATACCGTAGATTGACTGGAATTGTTGTACAAACGTAGCTAGGCTTGTCACATGGAAACTACAGATATGATATGATGTGGGCAAGGATTCAAGGAAGGAAAACTTTGTTTTACCTACTAAACTACTACTATTATTGCTACTTTGTACATTCCGGTGTATGGAAATGATTGGAGTTCAGTTGAGTGTTAATAAACAAAGAACCATGAAATTACCACATTGTCTCAAGGATCATATGTAGATATCTCTACACCACTTAGGATCATAACGATGTTCAGTAAAACAGTCATGATTATTCACTACAAGGTGGTCACTGGTGACGTCGGTCTTTTTCGTACTTAGTTTAGAGACAAAGAAGAGCAAAATAGGAAGGAAAGAAAATGAATTGTTTTACCCGACGAGTGTACATACATTCTTCACAACGCCAGTTTATTGAGAGAAAACGAGTATTCCGTTGGTTTAGTAATACTAACAACACAATTCAATATTTTACCAAAACCATACCACGAACTTGATTATTAAAGAATAATGCTATCCAATAGTTACATGTTCATCGTAGAAGTGTTGCTTCATTTGAATTAAAACAACACCAAAATTGTAAGATTTTCAATATACAAACAAACAAATATACAAACCATATTTCGTGATGACAGATATGAAATCGGTGATATATTCCTCCTCATTCTTAGTAGATGTTTGACGACGTTTATCAGCAAGCTTGCTATACCTTGCGTCTCCTTCCAGAGCGCGCCTCAGAGCAGGGACTATGCCGGGCACATGCCCATGCGGACATATCATACTGATGACAAGCTTATCAGGAAACACCACTCGTTCATCTTCACAAGGTACAGCCTTTCCCGGTTTGTACGACAAGATTTCATGCCGTAATTCATCATTTCTATTCCTAATCACAGAGCTGACAGTGGCCATCTTTGTACAGATGTCGCCTTGAATACACGAACAAACACGTTTTATTATACGCTCAATATCATTCAAGTTCAACGTTTTCTGTTTAGTTAAGCATGTAACATTTTAGGTCTAGTTATTACTGGCCATGGTTGGTAGGAAATTCTTTATCTAAATGCACGTACCATGCACAGTAGGATAAACGGATGAGGGATTTTAATCAATGATCAACCGATTTTAGATTTGAGGTATGAAACTCAAATCTATTATTTGAATCACACAATCTGCCCTCCACCAAATTGCACACACACAAGTTTTACAATAATTCTCTCCATGTTAAATGGTGGAAGCACAATATTCCACGCTAGTTTCTGTCCTTAATTTAAATGTTTGAGTCTTTTACCAACATATTTAACCACATGAGAAACACATGGCTATTCTTGAGGCTTCAGTTATTTTAAGGCATCATAGTGAGACAAAATTAACCGTCAACCCATAACTGTTGGAGAGGAAACTGAATGTTTCAAATCGTACTGTAGTTGTACAGCCATGTCCTTCTTGGTTGCAGATGTATATTAGCGACCAAGGCTAAGAATAAATATCATCCACATTTTCCAGTAAATCATCGATTGCCTTTAATAGGGGCTTTTGGATTCTGCACGACGAGAACGCGGACTGCCCTTTTAAGGCAATGTGACGTCACTGACAGTGCCTTAAAAGGACGTCACGCCTTAAAAGGGCAGTCCACGTTCTCGTCGTGCAGAATCTAAAAGTCCCTAATAGGTGGAGGCGGACAACAATTAGCACCGTAGTGACAAGCAAAGACAAACCAACAACAAAAATAATAGATTGGCCATGTTTCATGAAATTGGGAAAGCCCAGAGCAAAAGCGGTGCTATGAAATAAAATCGGTTGAATCTATATAGTTGTCACCAACTCACGAGTGCATACGGAAGCCAGTTCAAAGTACATTGACGTGTGGACTTGCCAACTTGATGAGAGAATAAATCATATTGTATACATACAATATGATTTCAGGGCCCTCAGGGAGAACAGTATGAATAATGATGAGGCTACCCTGGGTAAACTAGACATATTTATTATTATTATTATTATACAGCCGCTGTACCATGCACACGTAATGCGCGCTTTGTGTGCTGTGTATACATCTGTTTATATGCAGCAGCAAATCTCTCGAATTGCAGCATTTCCCCCTTTTTTAAAACAAACAACAACGACAAAACAAATATAGGACCAAGAACGAGAATGCGGCACCCTGATATGTATTTGTCGTCGATTAAACATGTTTGTCAATTTTTCACAAAGTCATGAGAGCTCGTCACCAAATCACCAGTTTTTCATCAAGTCACCGTCATTTACCAATGAGGCCTATTACATTTTTATCAAATAACAAGAACTTGACAATAACATAACATGTCACCGTCATGCACATTATCTAAGGATAATTCTTAACCAAGTCATGGAACACTTCACCAAGTCATTGTCATGTATCGATCCATGTCAACTTTTAATATGCAACAAATCAATTGACACTAAGCTTTTTGGCAGAATACTCGATGCCAGCATTATAATTAAACGCTTCAACCCCCCTTTTTTAATTACTACTGATAATAATAATAGCTAGTTCTTATATAGCGCTTTTCAGGACCACAGGCCCTCTCAAAGCGCTTTGCAGATATAAATATCATTTCCCCGATCATCGGATTCAGGCTTACCCGCACACAGCCAGGCGTCATTTTTACAAGAGCACACTTGCTCATCTAACCACATTAACTTTCGCATCCTACCGGGTACCCATTTAACACCTGGGTGGAGATTGGCAAATGTAGATCAATGTTTTGCCAAAGGACATTAGTGCTGCGGCGGGACTTGAACCGCGGACCTTGTGATCCACAGTCTGGTGACATAT